ATCCTTATCGCTCGGTTTATATGAAGCTGATGTATGGCGGTGATACGGGCGATAGATCCGCGAATCGAGGGAATACGTCCCCTAGACTCATATCTTACCCGCATCGTTGCTCAAATGCGGCGCGACAACTCACGCATCCCGCCAAGAATGTGCAAAGCGTATATCCGTATGGTAAAATATACAGATTATTTCGATATTAAGTGGACGGTACACGCGAGCCGCGTAAAATCTAGATGTAACGAGGCCTACGTTTATACCGTAACCGCAAAAACTTTTCGAGCTCTTTATAACTTTGCACAAATACGCTTATCTTCGCCACACGTCGCGCCGCGTTTATGATGAATGAAAATCGATCACTGCGCTATTAATATTCGTCTCCACACGTTTATTTCCTTCTCTCTCTCTCTGTCTCTCTCTCTTCTGTCCTCTCTTCCTCATTTAATTCTTGACCAAACGCCCGACCAATTCTTGACATTGAATTTATAATCTCGCAAAGCTAAAACCACAAAAACGGGACGTCTATCCCGCGCGCGACGGATACGAGACTCTCGTAGGTTTTTTTCGCCCGTAAATACCCGCGCGATAACTCACGAGATGCCGACCATAATTTTGCGCGTTCAACATCAAGGCCTAGACCCAAACGACACCACTTCCGAATGCCCCGGCCGATACCGGCCGAAGGACATTATTTTCGCCGGGACACGAAATTTCGTGGCCGCGGCCCTTGGAAAGCTCGGCCGATTGTAAACAAGGGCTAATCAGCTCGACACGAGACGTTAAGATTAGGGAGGGACAAGTCAACGGGGACTCAGTATGCAGCGTGGATCACGTTTTTTAAGGAGGTATCTTCCGAGAAATAAAGGAGGATACCCGAGAGCGGCGTGGAGAGCGCGAGAGACAGAGAGAGAAGGGAAGAGAAATACGTCCCAGGCATGTGTAGTTTAACGCGGCTCGTGTGTCCACACACGAGAAGCCGCTTGTTCACGTCGAAATAAAAGTGAGCGCCCGTGGAATTTTCGTGAACTAGCCCCTCCGCTTTTTTAACGTCGCCGTCTGTCCCGAACCGGTCGGGAAATTATAATTCGTCCGGCCAGATTGGCGTTGCGCCGCGGTGTGGATTCCCCGGATGAGACACGATACCCCTCGCGACTCGTCTTACACCATCTTTCAAAATTCCTCACCGCAGAACTCCCTCGCCCTTGTCGGCAAACCCTCCGCCGCGATAGCCGGACGCATATGTGGCACAAATATACGTTTCGACATTGTCTCTCCTAAGAGATTCCGTAATCAGAGACCGGCCATAAGAGTTCGTCAAATTCCCGCGGGTGAGAGAGAAACATTGGCTATCTCACTCTTGTGCCTACAATCGTAGAAGAGTGAGATGGCCTATGTTTCTCTCTCGCTCGCGGGAATTTGACGAACTCTTATGGCCAGTCTCTGATTACAGGGTCTCCAGTCTCTCCATGGACAAACGCTTGGATCTGTCGAGTACGCGTGTCATCTCGATGACGTCACATGCGTGTTGCAAAGGGAACGGTCTCTTTTCGTAAATTTTTTAAAAAACGAAGGGTCAGTTTTGTTTTAAACAAAGACACGGGTATATGTATTATTAAATTACTTGGACTTAGAAATTTTTCGGCAACGCGTTGTAGTTAATTGTAACACTCGGACCTCGGGCCATTGCAATTTGCATTCACGTTACACGCGCAAGCCGTCGTATTCTTTCGCGAGCGGCGTTAATCGACGCCGACAGCGACTTCGCAAAAGTCGCCGCGCCACGGGATGATTTTCGTAGTTCCGTTTCGAAAGCGGACAAGACGTTTCGGCGCGCAGCGCCGTCGAAAATGAAAAATCGTTGGCTTAATGGGCAATATAATAATTAACCGTTTGACCCACGCCCTATCCGGGAGTAAGAGGAGGTAGGATAGGGAGGCAGGCCATCTCTCACCTGGTCCCACATTGGACCTCACTTAGCAGCGATTTGATGCATTTAAAGCGGACCCACCTGGTGAGCGCCGCTTCATTTTTCCCGAACTCCATTAGCCGTCCGTACAATTATCTTTCGCCTCTCTCATTCCCCGGTCTCGCCCACTGTTCTCTTTCTCTTTCGCCCGGGCCATTGTATCGGATCCCCCGGACCAGGGATTTACACGGTGATGAGCAGCATGACGAGAGAAATGCAAATATCGGCCGAAATTTCACGCGGCATTCCAGCCCGAAAACGCTTCTTTGTCTCGGTCTGATTGGAATCGTTGATATTTATATATTAATATTCGCACTCGTGTCATTTCTTGGCGACAGAATAGCTGGTCATCGGTGATGACCGACGCGCGTTGTAATTAGGCGCCGTACAACTTTCATGTGCACTGAGAAAAATGTTGATCGGATAAACCAATTGAATAGTGTTTCCGATTAAATGGTGGATACATCCGATGAAATTTGATGGAATAACCGCTGATATTTTTCACCGGATATACAATTTAATTGGATTACATTCAATCGGACATATTTCTCAGTGTAGGACTCGCGGAATGGCGGACTCGTCGCTGCAATTAAATCGCGCTTGCATCCGCAAGCACTCGCGTCCGGTCGCGAAAAGAAGAGGGGCCGTCGGCCTTGGGGCTGGTGCCGTCGGTGCGCCGCGCCGCGACGACTTCCGCGGCGGCTTTCATCCATTATGAGACGGGCCCACGCGGCTGCGATTGCGAGAAACCGCGCGGAGAGCGGGAGAGAAAGAAAAAGAGATTCGATCGACGCATCTTCGGCGCGGCGTATTAGCATAAACCTAATATGCCACGCGAGGGGCACAATGCGTTATTAGAGGAGCCCGAGGAACGGGCCACCGGGCCCGGCCGTAGATCTCACGGCACGATACGTCACAGGCCGCGCGTATGCTCTACTTAACATAATATAATTGACCACACGCAATTCAATGGATTTTGCATAGCAAACAAATCGTATTGTTCCGCCATAGGCATTCGAGGATTATCCTCCTTCGTCTCGCGCAAGGACTACCCGTCTACCGTCTCGCGAAATAATGAGTTTTTTTTCTTAATCGCGCGATGACAATGCAGGGGATCATTATTCAGATCGAGCAGCCCGAGACGGAGGAGTCCCACCCCATCTGGTATCGTTGCAAACTATTTCCGCTCGAGATGATGTATAAAGGGGTAAATTCTGTGGTGTATTTGAATTTTTATTAAGCTCAATACTGCCCGAGTCGAAATACTGTTTCGGCACTTTTAAGGTTGCACCTACTTAGCTGATCTATACACCTAACCTAACCAGCACTACTTTGATGACATTATATTTTTTGCTCCTCCCTTGAATCTTTAATTCTGAAAATTTACTTTGGCTCCTTCTTAAAAGGACCTACTTTAATGCTAAATTGGCAAAAGTAGAAGTTTCTGACACTATCAGTTTTAAAGAAGGGGTAAATTTTGTACTCGCAGCCCGACCTCTTTTACTGTCTTAGGTCCAACTATATAATAGAATTAAAGGTTCAACATGGAGCTAAAATTTCGACTCGGGTGTATAACGAAATGACGAATTCAATCCTGCGATTAACGAAAAAGAATCGCGAGACTCGCGCGGAAGCTTGCGCGGGTCAGGCATGGAGAGATCGTGGTGCGCGCGAGAGGACAGAAAGCGGAGAGGAAGAGAACGACGTCCGTAAAGTAGCATCCGCTGAGCAGTGGGCGAGCACAAAAAGCGGCGATTCCGTAAGAGGGAGCCAGAAAGAAGAGTGTCGGGAATGATAATGAGAGATTGCCCTGGCGCGATAATCGCCAGGTCTCTTACCTCCAACCGCAAAGCCGTGAGGCCTATGCATATACATACGTTTCGCGTCTCGTACGCATGCGGCCGTACGCATCGAGAGTGAGTTTTGTGCCCGGCGCACTTTTTTTAACGCTTCTTCTCACCGACCGGAGTTGCTGCCGGACCCCCCGGTGCGTTAACGGAACCCGATTGTGCGTGAGCGAGAGGAGACGTGGCGTGGAAGGTGAAGAGGAGGTGGTATCGTCTTTCGTGTGTATGTGCATACATCGTACCTGGACGTTCCATTATGCGTATCGAGGTCTCGTCGATCCCGAGCAATCTTCTTCATCGATCCCTTCGTCTCCCGTCTCCTCTGGCATGCGCATTCGAGAATCCATAGACGTCAACGTTCTCGATGCGCGAACTTGTTGAAATTAATAAATAATTTCACAAGACATTTCTCAATGGGTATTTCGCGTAGTAACCGAAGACAACAGCTATGATCGTGAAATAAATATGCAGACATTATATCTTTTTTCGAAGAAAATTCTTCGGAAGAATTCCATTAATTTCTGGGACTTGGTCATGAGTCGTTTTCTCCAGCGTGGACTCGCGAAAAGCGGACAGCTTCATTAACGAATTCAATATTTATCAATGAAAATTTTCACACTTTTCACGAGTCTCTGGACGTCCATTTTCCCTCTCGTCCGAAAATCGTGGCTGACGCGATGCAAATCGTAAGAGAGAGCCGTCTTGTTTCCGAACAAGACGAGCAAAAAGCGAGAAATTGGGGTAGAGGCGGGACGAGGGGCAAGAGAGATGGCGAATGAGATGGTGATCCTCGCGGGGTGGAAGCGGGATACGCGGAAAGGGGAAACGCGGGAGGTAGAAATGTGGCCCGGTATGGTCGTGTCCTTAATTGACAGGCCGCGCAGTCCCGTGTCCTTCGGGCAGGACGTGGCAGGACCTCGTTAGCGTGGGGCCTCGCGAGAGAGCTGGAAGGAGAGCGGGACAGTCGGCAAGACTTTTTTTTTTAGATGGCAGTTAGAATGCCATCTGCATAGGCACACGGGGGGATCCAGCGGGCCGAGAGGAGGGATCGTCGCGTCTCTAAATTAGTCGGGACACATTATCCTCGATAACGCGCCGCTACCACCGGCCGCGGCTGCGAATCGACAGATCGATCGTATACGCGGAATCGAATCCGCGTGTGTGGCTAATCGCCATAAATTCAATTACAGCTCCACGAAAGAGGCTTCCTGGACTTTCCGCGGTGCGTGACGAACGTTGCGGTTGGATTTTGTACGTGCCGCTAAATTCGCGAAGGCTTGAAGGAAGAGATTTACACAACCCGGACTCGAGGCGAGTATTATTTTATATTTATAACGTTGCAATTTTATATTTTATTAAGCTGATAAATACGGTCTCGCGTCTAGACTTCCCACGAGATACATTTAATGCTTTTTCTCGCCTTAAAATATGTTATTGCTTGGGAAACAAAAATATGTATTACGACTTATGCCATTGTTCTCATTCTCGATGATAATTCGCAGTGCTAGATGCGAACCGTAAAACGTCGCCGATGCGTAATTAATTTCATCGCGCTTCCGCGACCGCGCTCGTTTACATTTTTTCGCACGCCGTTATTTCGTCGCTTTATTCCACCGCCGGTCTTGATATGCGCGCCGCTCGCCGTAGCCACCCGATGCGCCCTTAAAATAGCAGATAAGCCGAGGCGAGGCGAGTTTCCACGATCTCAGGCAGTCAGTATTTTCTCAGGTCGGACACGTCGCGACAACGGGAAGGCAAGGTTCGGCCGCGTTATCGTTCGCGTCCATCCGCGACATTGAAAAATCGCGACCTCGGCGCCGCGGATGTACGACCGCGGCGCGGCGCGAGATAAAACGCGCGGGCAGGGGAGCGAGCGCGTGCAGAGCGGGACGGGCTCGCCGAGTCTCGCCGAAGACCGGCTGGAACGAAGTAATTACCGGTAGGGCAAATAATTAGTCGCTTAGCGCGTTAAAGAGCGCGAGCCAACGGCCGCGGAGAGACGCGCAGTCGCGCTTGATACGCGATACGCGAGCGTGTTCGTCGAGACGTGTGCGTATGCAATCTCGCGCACCTGTATCGCCCATCCACGTACGATATTCGCGACGTGAACACCGGAATGCGTCGCGGTATCTACGCGCGCGCCCGCAGAATGCGAACGTACAACGTTTGCGTTACAGCCCGCGCTTGCATTCGCGCGGCTAGGCCGCCGGCCCCAATTACCGGTCCATTACCGAATCAACACCTGCCCGCCCTACGAGGGTCAATAACACGAACGGTTCCCGGGAGAAATGCGCCTTCGGCTCCTGGCGAAGTCAGTCTTTTAATTATCGATCATTTTAGGACGATGTCGCGCCGCGTTGGAAGTCACCCTTTCGGGCCCCGTTAGCTGTCTCGCTTCTCTCTAAAAGTCAACCGGTGGATTATCGCTGAAAACAGTGGATAGTCACTGATTTGCAGTGTTATAAGTATACCACTGAAAATAGCAGTACACTTATAACCATGGTGTAAAGATGCAAGGCGAAACATTGCGCATGTAACCAATTTTGGGGGCAAATTGTTCAGCGGTTCTTCCTGCGTTCAACTGCAATGATTTGCAGTTTCAAGGTTGGGGCAAAATTCTGGGCGGTTGAATTTGGCGGAACAATTTGCCCCAAAAATTGGTTACATGCGCAATGTTTCACCTTGTATCTTTACACCGTGCTTATAACTGTAAGTTAGTGACAATTCGCCGATTGATTTTCAGAGAGTTCAACTTGCCCTATCCCGGTCCGATCCCGAAAGCGTGACTGTTATCAGGCTCTCCGACGGAAGCGTAAACGAGGGCGCGCGTGTAATCCGTGGGGCGAGATAATATTTGAGACTTAAATGATTATCGGTATTAATTGGAGATTCCTGGAGTATCCCCTTTACGTTTCCTCGCGGGTGTCCACATAACGGTAGCACTCGCGTGCACGGAAGACGACGGCTGTCCAATATATTACAATTTGTCCGGGTGCACGTTAGTGATTCCTGGGACCCCCGCGGCTTTGGGGCGCCGCCGCCCCGACGCTACGATGTATCCGTAGATTCCCGTGTATTCCCACGCGGAGCCGCAGCCCCCGCGATCGCGTCTACCTGCCCGAGTCGGCGCGAGGCCTGCTCGCACAATCGCGCGCTGCGTCGCGTTTTCGTCTGGTACACTCCTTTCGCTTAAACGCGCTGCAGCCGCTTCCCGCGCTAACGAGAGAATTATTCCGCTGTTACGGCGCCGTTCGCCGACTCTTCCGTAGAAATTCAATGGAAAAATCCATTCTAAATGATTCTCAGCGTCTGAATATTCCGTCTGATGAGCGCGCTCATCAGACGATGAAAGATTAAGTATTCGGTTACGAAGTCTTGGAACAAAAAAATAAAACAAACAATAAAGACGTAACGCGGACTTGTTTCTCGAAGGAAATCGAATTCAGCATGTTTCTTCATGTTTCTTAATATTTAATTTTCTACGACTCGGTAATTTTCTACGCTGTGATTTTTGTAAGCGGAGATTCATTCCGCCTCGTGCGAACGTTGGAAAGTGTGCGTGCGCGAGAAGAGACTTGAAATCTCAATTTTAATCTGTAATCCCCTTGACAACATTCAATACGCTCGCGACGACGACGGCATTGTTAGTTGCACTTGTATAAAATAAAGCGGGCGCCAACGGGTGGGCTCGCATCGTCCCCAGAAAAGATCGGGATTCTGATTCCACTGGGCACGTATCCAGTAGCCAGAAATGTTTCGGGGATAAAGATTAATATTTACTCGTAATCTTTGGAATCTTTATCGGCCAATTATACGGGGTGTGTCTCTAGGAGGCCGTGAAACTACCTGCCCCGTCGATACTCACCGTGGATATAAAGTGGAAACTTTATTTTCTCGGCATCGACGCCGAGGCGAAAAGGGTCAGTAGGGTCCCCCTACCTGGGGCCGCGGCAACGATTCGCGTCGTGTTTTTCGGGAAAAAATGTCAAGAAGATTTAGCTCGACGATGCACAAACGTCGGGGCTTTTTGACGTTAACGCAAGACTCTCTCTCTCTCTCCCCCTCTTCCCCTCCCTATTATTTATCTTCCTGCTCTTTTCTTCCCTGTCGACGCTATCTTCCTCTCTTCTAAAGCGTGATTTGTGCATCGTTATGCACCGTTGAGTCTGACGTTTGTAATTATTACCTGCGCCAGGATGCAATGGCTCTCGTACATGTCCTGGGAAATTCCTGTATCGCCGCGCTTGTGTACGGGTTCAGTTTGACAAAGCGATAATCATATAATATTTACTTTTATTACGCTTTTCGCTTTGCAGTGTTCAAAGATAATATTAATGCGTATGTGTAACGAAAGGAAAACAAGATTAAATATGCGATAATTGGGCGATAAGCTTCCCCCCTTTAAAAGTTGTACGTGAAAATTGAAAAAGCGCGGAAAAAAATGTGTTCGCACGAATTGAATAAAAACAAACTTTTACAATTCAAAATTTAAATTTGTAATATCGCGTATATTTGTACAAATGCTATCGCGCCGGAATGTAAAGCGTTCATATATTATGCAAGCGAGTCTCGTCAGGAAACCACATGAATTTGCATTTTTCAGCCGAATCTTCGTGTTTCTCGAAAAATTACGAGGGCCGCCGCGAACGGCGGAGCAAGCTCGTAAAATAAACTAGGCTCGTCGCCTACCTGGGAACTCCGAGGGAAAGTCCCGTTAGGAATTCCTTAAAACAATGCCGGGGTGACATCCCTCCGCCTGCGACCCCCGGTGGGAAGAGCCAAGGGGATCTTCTCGATATCTAATCTGGCAACCTTCTGACAATCCCTAACGTGATTTGTGCGCGTATTCTGTTTCGGAAAATGTCCGAAAGCGAAACGTTACGACCGCATACTATTGGATTTCTGAACCACGACATTATTTCCTTGCACTTCTTTTATCCGGTTGTTGTGGTTAACGCGATATACGATAGCTACTTTCATTATCGCATCGATAAGAGAGAGGTAGGGTTGGGTAGTCCAGCGCTAAGATCACTCTCGAGCCACATCGACGTGTCCCGCGTGTATCGCTCCGCGAAGACAGCTTACGCCTGCATCGCGTATTGTTCTGGGACGGCGGGGGGATCCTCTCTCGTCGGCGGAGGGGGTTGCCGGGTAGGTCTGAAACGAATGATAATGTGGGGGATATCGTATTAAAATCTGGCGCTACCTAGGCCCCAGCGCAACGAGTGTTGGGCGCCAAAATAGATGGACCTCGTTACAAATGGAATGGAGTTTATAATCAGTATCTCGGTGGTGGCATCTGTACCCCGTTGTCGAGGGCCCGCGGAGAGACGAGGGGGGGACGAGGAGAGAGGCAGGGTAAGGAGGAGCCGGAGAAGAAGAGGCGAAGCGGACACACGGCTGTTGGCGGTTCTCCTCTTCTGGTTCTGGTTTCTCGGCTTCTCCGTACCCGTTTATATCTCTCTAACCGGTGCCCTCGCGCGTCTCCGCCGCGCCCTTCCCCCCTTTCTCCTCTCCTCCTCCTCCCTCCCCTCCCCCGAATGCAGCCGTGGCATGCATCGCTGTGGCTGCTGCCACCTGCATACGAGAAACAAGTCCAACAATAAGATTATAATGGTTTGTGGGAATGCGTTGTATTTATCACTGGCCATTGTTTACCAGTGTCGGGCTCGCGCTTTTTAAAATTGAACTCGTGCCCTCGCTGGGCTACGCTACGCTAGGCGAAACGCTAGGCAGAGGGCAGTGCACTCCGCGAGAGATCGGCAGCGCAAGCGCGAACGCGATAGCGTTTAATTTCGCCCCCTCCCCCCCGTCCTCCACAAGGTATTGTTTTTTTTTCCGCGAGAGAGCTTCTTATCCCTGAAATTTTCCAACGGTGAACGCTGCACTTTGTATTTGTCAATCGTCAAGTCGGAGCGAGCCTGGAATACTCTGAGGTGAGCGGTATCTTTTCGGCGACGCGCACCGCACCGCGATATTTACATTCGCGGGCCGTGGCGGTCAATCTCGGCCGGCTAAAAAGGTGACAGCCGTGGTCCGTGATAAATATTACTTCGCGACGAGACTGGCTCCTTAGCGAGACAGCGAGGAGTCGCGCGGGAGGAGGAACGACCAGGAGAGGCAACGAGGATCAGCGAGGAACGAAGCGGGCGCAAGGCGGAAAGGAGAGGAGAGGCGGAAAGAGAAAGAAAAGAGAGACAGAGAAAGAGAGAGAGAGAGGGAGTCGAGTAGAGCGAAGGTGCATCCTTTGGTGCATCTCTCGCACGCGCGTATTTGCATGCCGTCTGTGCGGAGTAAGTCGAAGGGGGCGTGGGGATCCACTCCATTGGCTCACCATCCGAGTAATGGTCGCTTAGCTACTCTCCACGAGGGTCCGTTGTGCCCCGTAGGCAACGAAGAGACCCCGATAATTCCTGCCGCGAACCCTCCGCGCGGCGCTCTTCTTCCCGTCCTCTCTCTTTCTCTCGTCTCTCCTCCGACTCTCCGCTTCGTCCACCCGTTCGCCGCTTTCCGC